TGAAAGTGGGAAGTACAGTTGAACGCATTGGCACAGGAGACCACTTCCTTAATAGAACCCCAGTAGCACAGACACCGAGAGAAACAATTAATAAATGGGACCTCCCTAAAACTGAGAAGCTTCTGTAACGCAAAGGACACGGTCAACAAGACAAAGACAGCCTACAGAATGGAAAAATATCTTCACCAACCCCACATTAGACAGAGGGCTGATTTCCAAAATATACAAAGAACTCAAGAAATTGGTCATCAAAAGAACACATATTCTAAGAAAAAAAAATGGAGTACAGACCTAAACACAGAACTCTCAACAGAGGAATATAAAATGACTGAAAGACACTTAAGGAAATGCTCAATATCCTAAGTCATCAGAGAAATGCAAATCAAAAACAGCTCTGAGATTCCATCTTATACCTGTAAGAATGGCCAAGATCAAAAACGCTGATGACGTTTAAAGGCGCACGCCTTTAATCCCACCACTTGGGAGGTAGAGGCAGGCGGATCTCTGTGAGTTCAAGACCAGCCTGGTCTATAGAGCTAGTTCCAGGACAGGCTCCAAAGACACAGAGAAACCCTGTCTCGAAAAACCAAAAAAAAAAAAAAAAAAACGCTGATGACAACTTAAGCTGGAGAGGATGTGGGGTAAAGGGAAGACTCCTGCATTGCTGGTGAGAGCGCAAGCTGGTACAGCTCTTTTGGATGTCAGTGTGGCAATTTCTCAGAAAATTAGGAAACAACCTACCTCAAGATCCCGCAATACCATTTTGGGTATATACCCAAAAGATGCTCAATCGTGCCACTAGGACATGTGCTCAACTATGTTCATAGCAACACTGTTTGTCATAGGCAGAACCTGGAAACAACCTAAATGTCCTTCAACCAAAGAATGATAAGGAAAATGTGATACATTTACACAATGGAGTACTACACAGCAGAAAAAATAATGACATCTTGAAATTTTCAGGCAAATGGATGGATCTAGAAAACATCATATTGAGTGAAGTAACCCAGACAAATTATCATATGTACTCACTTATAAGTAATGTTTAAACATAAAGCAAAGAAAACTAGCCTACAAATCACAATCCCAGAGAACCATGACAACAAAGAGGACCGTAAGAGAGATATACATGAATCTAATCTATGTGCAAAGTAGAAAAAGACAAGTAAATTGGGAGCATGAGGACCATGGGAGAGGGTAAAAGGGGAGGGGAGAGAAAGGGAGGAGAGCAGAGAAAAATATATAGCTCAATAAAAACAATTTTAAAAATGAAAAAGAAAAATAGTAACCATGTGACTATTTGTCTAGCACCCTTTGTGACCTGTCATAATGATCAAGGAGGAAATTTATAAGTTAAGGATTGCCATCTCCATTGTGTGGGTGAAAAACATAAAGCCTCACAGTCACAAGTAAGTAACCCTGCGGCATAACTGGGCCTCAGGGGCAAAGAGTGCTTACGGCATTTGGTTCAAATGGCTTGTACATACTGAAGACAGACTATGCCCACAGCCTCTGTGTCTGTGCCCAGATCTTTGGGGGAGAGTTTGGACTAACCCTGCTCCAGAGAGGAGCAGGTAGAGGCCTGTAAAGGTGGCTGATTTGCTCAGGGTCTCCTGCTGGCAGGTGGTGTCCAGAGTTCCAGACCATGAGTCTGTGGGCGGTTCTACCCCATTTTCTATCCATTCTCACCTTACCCTATGGGATCCGACATTTTCAACAGAGCCTTCTTGACACCTCAGGCTTCTGCCTGTGTGCACAGGCTTCTGGTCCCTGTGCATTGATCTGCCTTTCTCCCCAACAGGAATCTTTGAGGCAAGCAAAGTAGTGTCTGTGCCTAAAAGCTCTCTAGTCAAGTGGCATCTCCAAAGACCACCATTCTTCCTCAGCTTCCCCTATGAAAACTGAGGCCTGACTGCAGAGGATCTCCAAGCACCTTCCCCCATGGCAGAGCCACAACAGCTAGATGTCCTGGCAATGGTGGCATCCAGGGTTGCCTTTCTCATCCTGTTTCTGAGGGAGAGCAGGAGGCTACACTAAGATCTCTCACCTTACTTCTCTTTCCATAGATAATTTGTCCAGCCCACTCCCTGGTCTCAGGCTCATTCTTCCTGGAGTACTTATTGCTGCCCACCCTACTGCCTGGGTCTCTCTCCAAGACCTTCCATGTCCTCATGGATCCTATAATCTACCAAGCAAGGACCCCAATACCACCACTCCCCACCCCTTCACCATTGCTCCTAATGAGAGAGAGTTGGGGCTCTCTCCAAAGACAGACAGTCCAGCTTCTCAGGAGAGGCTGTTTCCTAGTATCTCCCTTCCCCTATTATAATAGTTCCTAATGCCCAACAAATCATCCCCGATTAAACTGAGTGGCTTAAAACATCAAAAGGCATGGACTGTCTTCACTGTATCTGCGGGTCAGGAATTGGGAGCATCTTGGCTGGGCGGTGCTGGCTTAGCATCCCTCTTTAGGCTTCAGTCAGCAGTCTGTTGTAGCTGTTGTCAGAGAAGTCCTGGCTGGAGTGAGTGGACCCGCTTCTCATGTAGTCTATTCCTATGGCTGGCTAGCTGGTAGTGGAGAGGGCAGGGGGCCTCAGCCACTATGAGAATGTCTCTCTACGGGGATGTCTGAGTGTCTCCATAGCATGGCGGCTGGCTCATCTCCATGTGGCCAAGGAAGAGGCTACCGAGCTTTCATGAAGTCACACAATGGCACATCCAGCATATCCTACTGGCTATATCAGGATTCGGGGAAGGAGGGGGACTCCTTATGAACATAAAAACTTGTGGGTGGGACTCCCTAGAAGACGTGTGGGTGGGATGCCACACGTCTGAGAACCATAAACGAGCGAGTCTTCTGCTGACTTGGGCACGGCACGCCCTGACTTTCCTCCTTCTCTACGAAAGGGGATTAGTACACTTACGTCCCCTTGTGGGGATGCCAACATGGAAGGAGCTATGGTTCTTCCCTGGGTGAGCTTGGTAAAGTTGGGGATTCAGTCTCGTCATGAGAAGCTAGAGGAGACATCTTCTAAATGTCCAAACTGCCAGAGGACAAATAACAGGGTATTTGCCTACCCGAGGCCATGGACTACGGAGACTCTGTTTCCCAGCAGAGGGGACATTTATGCTGAGTCTGGAGGGATGACTAGGAGCTCCTCGCGTGATGGCAAAAGGGAAGCCATTGCTCCATGTGACCTGAGCAAGAGCAGAGAGCTCAAGAGCTTGTGAGGCTGTGATTATGAAGCTAGGCTTTAAACGTCAGGGGCCAGAGAAGGGTCTGGCCGAGCCCTGTGGGATGAAGGAAGACTACAAAGGAAGGAGCTGTATTGCAACCTGCATGGCTTGGGAATTGACCCACCTGGGACACCAGAGGATATCAAGAAATGGAAGACTGCATATAGAAAAGCTGACATCAGGTGGGCCATGGCTCTGATGGAGATGCGCTACCAGCAGCATCCCGGACAGTCCACACATCTGTGTCATACATTCAACTGAAGAGGCAAGTTTATTGTCTATCGCTGAACAAGGAGGCAACTTCAGCTAAGGGAGGAGTCTGTAGAGGAACAGTTTCCGGATGTAGTCAGCCGGGAAGAGGAAACTGCTGTTGATCATTTCTGGACACACTGGTTTTAGCTAAGGAACAGTAATTCATAATATCTGTCCTTGGACCAGGCAAAGGCTTCACCATTTCCCCGGGCCTCGCCTGAGAAAGGCTTTGCCATTTGCCACGGGTCTGAGGCTGTGGGGTCCTTGCCATGTCTTTGTGCTTGTCAACAAGACACATTCACTCAGCACTTCATTTGCTCCGCACAGAGTTGCAGTCTACTGAGGAGGAGAGGTGTGGAAGAGGAGAACCAACTCTGAGGTGGAACTGACTGCAGTCTCTGGCAGGGGACAGGAAGGCCTGCAGGCCATGGCCTACCTTCCCCGTCATTTCTCCACCGTACCTTCTTCCCCAACTCTTGGTTCTTCTGATACTGATTTCTTTCGTGCGTGTGCATGAGCATACAGTGTTTAAGTGTTTGGTCCCACGGAAGAGATACCACAGGGGGAACATCAGGTCTTTCAGCCCAAGACTGGAGATCCTGAGTGTTTCAGGTCCAGACTTGTGTGAAAATTTGGTTTAAAATGTGAACCATATTTCTAGAAAAAATTGAAAATGCATATTTGTATAAATGATTTGTGAACAACTCCAGAGGACCCAGTCCCCTCCAAGCCTCTCTGTGGGTCTCTGGGTTTCCAATTGAAAGCTCAGGAAGGAACAAAAAAATCAGAACAGGTATCTGACCCCTGCCCACGTTATGGTCTTCTTTTTTCAATGCCCTATAACCCCACCCATAATTGGGCCATCCCTTTAATCAAGAGAAACAGGAGGATACACCCAGATGACAGCCCCCACTGGAACTGGCCGCAGTTTGGAGGGTCTATTTCCATTATTAAAGCCGTTCTCAGGCTGCAGGCTGCAATTTTCACTTGAGGCAAGGCATTAAATTGAAATTACCCCAGATGTAATGGTCATACGAAATAATCCTGGACACATGAGAGGAAATGCCTTCTCGGGATCAGACTGTTGCTGATTCTGAGGCTTTGGGGCTCTGTCTCTTTAAAGATGTCAGATTGGGAGGGGCAGGGGGCAGGAGCAGGGGGACAGCAGTTAGAATCCACCTCTGAAGCTGCCAGTTCAGAAGTCAATATGATAAGTTCTATTGGCTTGATCTGCTCTGTGGCCAGAGGCTTGGGTAGGAAGGCTAGAAGGGCCCAGATTTGGGGCAGAGCCCAAGACTTGGAGTTTGGCTCCTGAATCTGTTAGGAAACACTGTACTTGAACTGACGAATGGGTAAATGACAATACTTGCTTCTGTTTAGGCTCCAAGCCCAGGTTCCCCAGTAGGCAGTAGACACTTAAGTTTTGGTCATTCTTAGATGATGTTCATGGTCCCAGGCTCTTCGGTTTTGCTCTCAAAGGTCTGAGTTATCATCCCGCTTTTGTTTGCCAGATGTTCACTGCTGGTGTACTGCACGGACCTTCCTCCCACCAGTATCATCATCACCTTCCACAACGAGGCACGCTCCACTCTGCTCAGGACCATCTGCAGGTAAGACGCCTTCCTGCCTGGGGGCTGTCACTCAGCCTGATCCTTGGTCAGGCTCATGTCTGCTCTCTGGGCATCCTGCAGGCACGTACCAGGTACTGCCCTATACATCATGTGCTTCCACTCAGCCTCCCCTCACGTGCTGATGAGAGAGGCCATCGTCCCATGTTTAAAGAGAATGACAGATGCCAATAGTGCCCGGTAACTTGCAGGCATTCAGAGATAAATCAAAGGAACGGATAACAGACCCCTTGCCCATCTGTTAGGCTATCTGAAGAACGTGGACTGGTGTGGTCATAATTGAGGAAGGATGCTCAGATAGTCAGGTTGCTCATTTCATCCCCAGCCTCAGCTAGGATCAGGACCTGGATGTGCCCTGGGCTGCTCATCGTGTGCTGCACTTTTCCAAAGCTGAGACAGGGGTGGGATGTGTGGGAAGAGGTGTGGGCAATCCTTAATGTTTGCTCTCTGGGTATCTGCATTCAGCTCCGGTCCTGCTTCCCCTGAGCCTTCCTGACACCTTGACACTTCGTCTCAGTGATGCTCCTGCCCTGAGAGGCTTGTTGTGACAGAGATGACCAGTCGCTTGCCTAGCTTTTTCATATGCTCAAGCCTCAGTGCCAACCACAAGCAAACTGGCCCTAGAGCAGAGAGGGGACCCGACTGGGAATCATGCCTCTGGGTTCTTAGGAGACTCTGGCAGGCTTGAGCCACCATTCTCTGGAATGACCCTCCTTTCTTCTCCCTGACTCCACCTGTTTTATCCAGGTCATCTTCCTCATTATCCCTTCCTCTGATCCTCAACAGTAGCTTCCCTGTCCTAGTAAGGTCAGACAGTAAGGACGACGAGGGCTCCTGCCCTCAGCTGGGGTGATAAATAGGTCAACAGAGCAGGTCAACAGAAAGAAGCGAGACTTAGAAGTCCCATATCAAGGTCGCATAGCCCAGACACTGGCCCATGTCCTCTTACCTGTCTGTACCGGGAAGTCACAAGAGAGGGCTCATCACTGCTGGTGTAGTGCTGGGGCTTTAGGGGTGCAGCCACAGCTTCCAGCACAAAGCCCAGCCTCCCCAGTAAAGTACCCATGGAGAGTTCATATGTGTGTTGCTTTTGTCAACTTAACTCAAGCGAGAATCATTTGAAAAGAGAAGCTTCAGCTGAGAAAAACACTTCCGTCAGATTGCCCATGGTCAAGTCTGTGGGGACATTTTTTAAATTAATAATTGATGTGGGAAGACTCAGGTAACGGTGAGCAATGCCATTCCTGGGCAGATTATCCTGAGTGCTGTAAGAAAGCAGGCCGAGCAAGCCACGAGAAGCAAGCCAGTAAGCAGCACTCCTCCATGGCCTCTGTATCAGTTCCTGACTCCAGGTACCTACCCTGACTTCCCCCTCAGTGATAGACTGTGTCCTGAGAGTTATGTTAGAGTAAAATTTTTCCTCCCCACGTTGTTTTTGGTTGTAGTGTTTTATCACAGTAATAGAAACCCTAACTATGACACTTCATATCCCAGAGGAACACGGTTTATTAGGCAGCATGTGGGAAGGTCATCTGATACACAGAGTGGTAAAATGATTGAACATGGACGAGCCGACAAGAGTATGAAGCGTAGCAAACCTCCCTCTCATCATTTCCAAAAGACAAGCCACACCGTCCCCATTCTTCCACACCGCCCCCATTCTTCCACACCTGTGTGCTTTGGCAGTGGGGGATTCTGGGTAGAGGGAAGCAAGCTCAGCCGCAGGCGACACACCACAGCTTACTGTCCACCTGTCACTAAATGTTGGATGTCTACTGTGTGGAGCCAGTGTTTCCCTTACAGGAAAGGACACGCCCTTGTGGAGGAAAGAACGATTCCACCTGCAGCCCCCATGTACCTGATGGCTGGCTGTGTTTCCCAGCCACCAACCTGTCCTGGCTTCTGTACTCACCCTATGGACTGTTCAGGTCACACTGTTGTGTGTGATTTCTCAGCAAGTCAACAGTTCACACTCACACACACACGTTACAGGTCACTACCAGTATCAGGGTAGATGGTTTGGTGATCTGCAAACCAAGGCAGGCCTGTGGGGGGACGAGGAAAAGGGCATTCTCTCTGAGGACTCCCAGGAAGGCTCTTGCTTCCTAGCTACAAGCTGGAAAAGCACAAGTGTCAGGCTCAAGCCTGGTGGGAGCCTGGTGGGCCAGACGATAAGAAACTTGAGTATCATAGCCTTGATGAATTGGAGATTTTCTTAAGGGAGAGAAAGTGAACCCTAAAAAGTTCACAAGGCCAGTGCTAGGGCAAATCTTTACGGGGTGTGAGACTCAGGCTGCCCGTCCTGCTCTTGGAGCAACTGTCAAGCCTTTATTTCCCATGGGGTCCAGCAAAATGCAGTGGTCCATGACTTTACATCCCAACCCTTTTTAATCCTTGGTAGTTTTCTAGACCTAGGTTGGCACTTTCCAGATGAAGGTAGTTAAGAATTTGGACTCTGAAACCACATTTGCCGAGCTCTGCCTGTAATAGCTGTGTGACCCTGGGCAAAGTGCTGAACCTCTCTGCTCCAGTTTTCCGTTCTGCCAACCAGGAACTATAATTACTACTAATGCCCTGGCATGAGTTCAGTGAAAACCAAAAAATACAGCTAGGTTTAGCAGTCAGGGTTCTCTACAGCACAGAACCAATGGCACCTACGGTTATAAAAGGGCATTCACTAGATTAATTTACAAGATCAGAGCCTGATAGTCTAACCATAGTCATCTGCCAGCTGGAGAACCAGAAAAACCAGTCCAGAAAATGGAAGCCTCAGAATTGGGGCGATGGGACAGGAAGATGGCTCAGACAGTAAAGGCGTTTGCCACCAAGTCTGGAAATGGAGTTCAACTCCCGGGGTTCACATGTTGGAAGGAAAGAACTAACTCCTGAAAGTTGTCCTCTGACCTCCATAATAAGGGCCATGGTATGCATGTGTGCACACGTACACACAAATGAACAAATGAATGAACGAATATACTAGAATGGAGAGGAGGCCAATGGCACAGACCCAGTCTAAGGCTGAAGTCCCTGAAGCTCCGTGGAGACAAACACATTTAAAGACTGAAGATACTGGCAGTTGATGTCCACAGAATAGGCACCCACTCAAGGAGAGTCAAGCCCTACACTGGCGGTTTCTTCCTCCCAGCTTTTGTGCGGTAGGAACCCCAGCCCAATGTATGGTACTGCATACATGTGGTTGAGTCTTCCCTCTTCCTCTGGGTGACCCGCATGGCAGTCTTTCTGGAAAGGTCTTCACAGACACACTCAGAATATGCTTTACTAATTTTGGGGGTGTTTCCTGATCCCTCCAATGTGCCCGTCAAGATGAATCACAGTGAGCAAAAGACCGGGATTTCCTGCTGGCACAGAGGAAAAGCGGCGGCAATGTGACGGAGTCTCCAGTCCTGATAGATAACCATGTTCTCACATGGTGGCTCTCCAGTGTGAGAAGATGCTAGATTCTCTTGGAGGGCTTGCTAGAACATGCCTTCTTGGGCTCCAGCCTCAGAGACTCTGAGTCAGTGAGTCTGGAGTGTGGCCTGAGAATTTGCATTTCTGACAAGTCCCCAGGCTGTGACAATATTGCTGGCTCGGGGCTCAGACTTTGAGAATCATTTCTGTTGCTGTTAGTAGCTCCAATAGTCTTATCACCGGTGCCCACATTCCAAGAGCAACCGTCATGTGCCAAGCATGGTGCTAAGTGATGCTCACGAAGCCGGGGAAACCATGGTACTTGGAGGCTTGGTACTGACTGGAGCCTTCCTGCCGACAAGTGGAGGCTGCACAGATGTGTGCTTGAACGCAAATCTGTCTCACTCCAGAATGAGTACACTCAACTGTCAGCTAGCCCCAGGTCTTCATTCAACTGGTATTTATGGAGCGTTTGATAAGACCTGTCTGCACACAGCCCTGTGGAGTTCACGAAGCAATTTCAAATACGTTCCATTTCACGCACACAAAAGCCTGTGAAGTAGGTCAAGTATTAATATCACCCGCTTTTACAGGGAAAAGTAATTACAGAAGGAACGGAGGCTGGGGGCTGACCAGCTCAGAACCACACAGCAAGCACACTGTAGGGATTACTTCCCCCAAACTATCCTGACGTATCTTGGGCCCTCCCATGGACCCCATAATTAGATCCCAGAAATCCAGGGAGTGGGAGATGTCATAGATTCTGCCTGTGTAATTGCACATAGGAGACAGATCCGAAATGATTCCTTGGACAGTGTGGCCCATACATGCCAATGAGATGAACACGGTGACCCATTCTGTGGTCACATGTAGAAAGACATGTGGTAGTCGAAGCAGGGGCAGCTAGGATGGAGTAGAGCAAACAGAAGGGCTTACTCTGCTGATGGGGAGCTGGTGAGAAGCCTGGGTTGTAGAACCTGTGAGGTGGACAGAGGGCAGGGGATCACAGCAGCCAAGGTTTATCAAGATGGCAGAAATTGCATGGGGGAGCTGGAAGGAGAACGGTGGAAGACCACCAGGCCAAGGACCCTGGGCCAGGCATCACCTTTTCCTTTTCCAGCCACTTCCGGTGCCCAGAGTGCCTGCCCATTGAGTGCCCAACCATCCCAGGTGCTCCCAGCCTAGAGGCACTCATGATGGAGACCCCAACACCACTTCAATTGCTCTGACGACAGGAGCACAAGCAAGCCAGGTGTTAGCAGGAAATGGTCTAATTAGCACTGCTGACGATTCCTTTCTCCACCGCCCCCCCCTCCACGCTTCTGTTTTAAACCCTGGACATTTTTTATTCGCTAATCATCTCTCAGTTCAACCAGCTCAGAGCTCCACGCGATTTACCTTTTGATGTTCACAGAAGAGAACTCTTGAATTTCAAAGAGCCGGCAGGGATTTGGGGGGAATCGAATGCAGAAGCTCCAGCGTAATCAAACCTCATTAGAGGTTATTCTTCAAGCAGGATTTTTCCCTCTGTCTGCCTCCCTCTCCCCTCCTGCCCTGATTAGCCTGCTGGTGGCTGGGTTTGCTGTGTTTTCTCTGGGACCATCACAGCGAGCAATCTCTAGCCACCGCCCTATGGTATAGGCTGCAGCCTCCTTCCTGTCCCTGTCTCCTGCTTTCCCCCAGACTGGGACAACTGTCTGGGCTTTGTGTTGGGGTTTCCTCTCTGCACCTTACACTAGTTGCCATGGTGAGAATTAAGGCTTCATAAATAAAGGTTGCTCCGGGCAAAGTTCCTTTCTCGTAGAGTCTGCATCCTGCATAGAAAGGAGGCTGCGCTGGAAAAAAAAAGTTTAGGCAGATCTGAGAAGAGGGATGCTCATAAAACCCCACCAGCACCCACTCTGCACCCTCTTCCCCGATATACACAGGACTCTGCGTGTATTGTAATGGGTATGCTGAAGGCAAAATGCTTTGGGGAAACCATGGCGTCGGGAGATGCTCAAAGAATTCTGAGACCCATGTAAGATTAAAACCAAGCCTGTGCCCTTTGAAAAAGACATCTCTGGTACGGGAGGTCAGTTCAGTTAACAAATCTCAAATGACACATGGCATGGTGAAAAGGCTACTGTCTATCACTTAGTGCCAAATGTAGGTTTTCTCCTTTAATTTTCTTCATAGTCCTTTGAAGAATCCCCCCCCCACACTGTAAATGGCTCCCATTCTACAGATTAGCTGCTATGCTGGATGGCAGTATAGTTGCTTGCCCCAAGTCCAACAGCTTTTGTAGTGGATACAGCTGAATGAAAAGCTTCTGGGATGGAACTGACTTTTCTTGTGACCCTCACTCAGTACCCAGTGCCTAGAAGGTGTGCCCTAAAAATCCTTCCAATATATAGAGATGTGAGCCAAGCTCCAGGCCTGGCATGTTACCATACAGAGATATCACTAGGCTATTGGGTTGATAAATTCACTCCTGTGTAGTTTCCCTGTATCTCCAAAGAAATTAAGGAACAGAAATTAGTGAAGGAAATTGGATTTTTTTTAAATGTAGCCAAACCAAAGTGGAAAGAATAAGTGTAATTCCCTCTTTATCATGCCCGTGGTCATTTTTAATTTACAGGGAATCCATGAAACAAAGGCTATATAATATATTGTCAGTTGACATTGAGATGGCTTGACCAGTCCTATTCTGGAGCAAAGGGACTTGGGTCATAAGTTACATTCACTATCTCAGGTTCTTTATCACAGAGACAGTTTTTAAGTCAGATCCAAGGAAAATGGGGTAGGTTTCTGTCTTAAAGATCCACTAGTGGGAAGAATCCCACAGCAGTGGGCCCAGGTCAGGGCCTAGAACTGACACGGGCTCTGTGTTACTCTCAGCCTTGGTCAATAAAGCTTGGGCAGTCATTAATACAGAGACACACAATGAGTCAAAATGATGAGGCTGTGTGACTGTGAGTGCTCAGCTCCAAATGGAACATTTACATCAAGGCCCTGTCCCAGAAGAGCAGAGAGAGACAGCATGAGAGTAGAAGATGAAGAGGCTGCGGAACGTTAGGCATGACATGGGCATTGCGTTCATGACCTCCTAGAGGCTTCGGTCACCAGCACAAGATTTTAATCCAGTTAAAATCCCAGTCTGATCTGGGGAGAGGCTCACAAGAGCCCTAACTGAAGAGCTACTGACAAGTTGACAGCCGTTGGGAGGGGGAGAGGCATTTTTCCTTGGGGTTGTGGTTGTGAGTATGGTGTCCGTCTTGGTGGCGGATGGCCTTCCGTCTGTGTGTCTCTGAGCAGCTCTGATTGGGCTCAGTGGGTAATTAAACATGAAGAAGAAACAGGAGAGGACGTGAAGTTGGGAGGAGGCAGGAAGAGTTGGAAGGGGAGAAGAGAGGTGTATTATGTTTTGTTTACTCTAAAAAAAATAAATTAAAAAAAGTATCATTTAAAGAAATTGCTAAACGGCTAGCAACTGTTGGAACTTTATTTTTAATGCAATGACTAGCGAAGGTGAAAAGCAATTTCTCTATGGGAAATCACTGTATTCTTTCTTATGAGAAAATACAGATTTAGAATGAACAAAACATCCCCAACTTGGCATCTGTGTCAACACTAAATAGATATTTTTGTTATTGATGTATATGTGAAAATGCCATAGATTGTAAAAGGAGGGCCTGCTTGTTTGTCCAGGCTGCCCGGCTAGCTTAGCCCCGAAATAATCACACAGAAACTGTATTAATTAAATCACTGCTTGGCCCATTAGCTCTAGCTTCTTATTGGCTAACTCTTACATCTTAATTTAACCCATTTCTATTAATCTGTATATCACCATGAGGTCGTTGCCTACCAGCAAAGATCCAGCACATCTATCTCCAGCAGCGGATCTATGGTGTCCCCCTGACTCTGCCTTCTTCTTCCCAGAATTCAGTTCCATCTTCTCCGCCTACCTAAGTTCTGCCCTATCAACAGGCCAAGGCAGTTTCTTTATTCATTAATGGAAATCACCACACACAGAGGGACTTCCACATCAGTATGTGTATATATATATATATATATATATATATATGTGTGTGTGTGTGTGTGTGTGTGTGTGTGTGTACATATATGCATATACACACACATGCACACACATATTTATTATCTCCTGGGGGCTGGGTTGATGGAGGAAGGTCATTGGCTAATAAAGAAACTGCCTTGGCCCATTTTATTGGTTAGAACATAGGTGGGTGGAGTAAACAGAACAGAATGCTGGGAGGAAGAGAAAGTGAGCTCGGACTCGACAGTTCTGCTCTCTGGAGCAGAGGCCATGCTCCCCTCTCCCGGGCAGACGCAATGAACTCCGACCCAGGATGGATGTAGGCTAGAATCTTCCCGGTAAGACTGATGCTACACAGATTATTAGAGATGGGTTGATCAGGATATGAGAATTAGCCTGTAAGGGCTAGAGTTAATGGGCCAACCAGTGTTTAAAAGAATACAATTTGTGTGTTGTTATTTCGGGTAAAGCTAGCCGGTGGCGGGAGCTGGGTGGCAGAATGCAACCCGCAGCTCCCACTACACTGGGTAGCTGCTTCAGTTGGGGAAGCACTTGCTGCAGAAGCATAAGGACCCAAGTTTGGATTCCCAGCTCATATAAAGAAAAGCAAGTATGATCATATGTACTCCTTTAATTTCAGAGTTGGGAGGTGGCGACAACAGTACCCTTGGGACTGCTGGCCAGTAGTCTAGGCAAATTGGTGGGCTCCATGTCCAGTGAGAGACCTTGTCTTCAAAAATCAAGTGAGAATAGTTAAAGGCAACACCTTTGTTAGCATTGAGACACCATGACTGCGGCAATGCTTGTAAACAGAAACATTTAATTGGGGTTACTTATATACAGTTCATAGGCTTAGTCCATTCTCGTCATGGCAGGAAGCGTGATGGCGTGCAGGTAGACATTCAGGTGCTGGAGAAGTACCTGAGAGTTCTACATCCAGATCCTCAGGCAGCAGAAAGAAAGTGCAACACTGGGCTTCACTTGAGCATTGAAACCTCAAAGCCAACCCCCAGTGACCCCCTTTCCACCAACAAGACCACACCTCCTAATAGTGCTACTCTCTGTGAGCCTATGGGACCGTTTCCATTCAAACCACCATAAGGCCCAACACCAAACTCTGTCCTCCACTTTCATATACATACAGGCACATGTGTATGTATGCACACACACACACACACACACACACACACACAAATATGTACACACACAAACACATACACAACGATCTCCCATACCTGAAAGAGAAAAGACTCTCGCAAGCTTATTCTGGCCTGACAGAGCTGTTTGTCCCTAGCTTGGCTCATTTAATAGGCGCAGGGCAGAAGCCATTTATATTCTTAACTTGGAGGTCAGCTTGAAGCTGGGATTCTCCATGTCTGTTAAACACACTGACTCAGTGACTCTGATAGCTGGAGGGAGAGTCATGGTCTCTCTTTAAAGTGTTTACTCTCTCACCGAGGCCTCTGCGTGGTACCAGGGTTACAGGGGCAGGGGCTTGCCTGGTGAGGTGTAAAACCAGCTGCCAGTGTCAGGAAGTTGATAAATGCGGTAAGAAGCTTCAGCTAAAACCTGCTCAAGAATCCCAGGGGAGGAAGCAATTCATTCTCCCTAAGTAGATTGGAAAGCTGTTAGAGAGGAAGTGACATTTGAACTGGGCTTTGTGGGCAGCTTAGGGCCATTTCAGGTCCTAGAAGAGGCTCTCAATGAAGAGTAAGCACAAGACAGTCAGATGGCGGCACTGGGCATGAATCGCTGTGGGCAGCACGGGCCAGCTCAGTGATGGGAGGGTGTGGGTTGTAGGCAGGCACAATTAGATTTTATCAGTTTGTTTGTGGCCGCATGGAAGACCACACTGTCAGAATGGTCACCTGAAAGCCACAAGGAAAACAGCCTGGGACTGAGAAGAGCTGGGGCAGGGAGGGGCTGCAGTGGTCAACCAAATAAAAGTGGACAGAGTGAGGGGTGGTGGGGCATGCCTCTAATCATGTACTCGAGAGGAGAAGGCAGGAGCATCAGCTGGTCAAGGTCCATCTGGGCTACACAGTAAGACCTTGCCTACTCCCCTATAAAAAAGGGGGTGGGAGGGGTGAAACAGGACAGAGATAGACAAGGCGAGAGTGGTTTAAGGTAAACGTCCATATAGAACTATTATATTGGGTCTTCGGGAGAGGAAAGGTTGTTGTTGTACTACCTGGGTTTCTGTCTGGGTGCGTCACTGGGCAGCACGCCATTTACTGTGATGGAGAAGGCAGAGTTATATCCTCGCTGGCCCCTGACTGGAAAACTCTTGATGTCCTGGGGTCTTCTGTCCTCCCAGGCAATGATATTTAAAACTGGAGTTGATATGTACATTTTGGCTGCTAGAAGACACGCTAATTTCTCTTTTTCTCACAGTGTGTTAAACCGCACCCCTATGCATCTGATCCAGGAAATCATACTAGTGGATGACTTCAGCAATGACCGTGAGTAGCATTGATTATTGGCAACTGAGGCACAAATGTCTGGTCCCAGCCCCTGTGTACAGTAGAAGGGAGCCTACTGATACCCTAGAGGTGAAAGACATGGAAGACTGAATGTCCGTCTATGCCTGAGCTTAAAGGGGTGATAAACCTTATATTTGAGGGGGGAAAGTTGAAATGTTGGGGTTCTCTGCTGTAAGTTTTTGAGGACATGTACTGGCTTTGTGGGAGCCCAGGCAGTTTGGATGCTCACCGAATTAGCTAAATTTATTAGATCCCTATTTGGGGTGGTTGGTGAATGAGTGTGCATGTGTGGATGAACGCATGTGGCATCAGTGCCATTAGCTTCTAACCTACATCCCTGGACCTGAGAAGAGAGACATCCCACATTCAGAGAATCATCACTAGAACCTAGGGCTCCGTCAGAGACTCCTGGTTTTGATGCTGCATTCATGTGCCCATTTGAACTTCGGGCTGCCATGTTTTCTCCCTCTCATTCCCTGGGATCTGACAGGCCTTGACACTGTGATCCCCATGGAACATCCCAACAAGCATCCAGGCCCGTGTGAGTTGTAGAGCCTTTCAACACACTGGTTCTCACCATTTCCTGCCTCGTATTTCCGTAGTTATCCCATAAAAGAACCCAGCTCCCCTGATTTACTCCCCGGTCCACTTTCCCAAGGAAAACAATGCTGGGGTCTCAAGACATCTGTTTATGTCTGAAAGTCACACTAATTATAGAATTATGGGCAGAATCCCATGATTCTATATGCATGAGCAGCGCCAACCCCCTCTTCTAACAGCCACTGTCCTGGATACAGTTCTACTCATTCAACTGTATTCAGGTGGGGCAGTCTTTTCCTGGTGGTGAGCCAGGTGGGTGACACCAGGGGACAGACAACCACAAGTGTCAGGAAAGCAGCCTCCACCCCAGGAGCGTAGGTGCTGGGAACTGGACACGGGCGGCTCGCACATCGACACCGGCTGCGTAAGCACTAGAAACACACACACAAGGGCAGGGGCTATGGATTCCTCATGGAAAAGTGGGTTAGGTGTGAGGTCTTGGGTATGAAGACCTGTACTAGTTCTGGGACTCAGTGGTCTGCTCTCTTTGCCTAGTGAGGAAGAGTTTCGAGTGGGGTGTCACTCCTTCTGGGGGTCACCTGGTGCTCAAAAGCAGAAGGAAGTGCTGTAAGGTCCCCGAGGAACAGGATAGCCTAGGGTTTAAAAGGAGCCACAACAGCTTGTGCTCAAACCCAAGATCTGGGACTTCCTTACTCCTTAGCCACGTGCCTCAAGAAAACCACTAGCGTCAAGTCAGCTCCCTCACCTCTATAGTGGAGGTGACTACGGTCATATATTGGGTTTATATAGAGGTCAAATGTATTGACACATTCAGAGCCCTTAGAATAAGACCATGCCTGGGGAAGCCTGTAAAAGTCTCTTCTGTTGCTTGTTGAAGTCCAGAGCTAAATAGAAAGGCCAAAGTCTATAAACAGAACCAAAGGGTGGGGCTACGAGTCAGGTTAGGGCAGTGGTAGGGTCACAGAATAGTTCCAGTATGATTGGGGTAAGTGACCAAGTGGCAGTGGGTCTCTTATGCACCCTGTCCCATCGTTCATCAGGCTCGAGACCACCCTCCCATTATAAGCTCTGTTGTGATGGAAAAAGCTATCTGTTGGCAGAGCTCTTCATAAACAGGGCCTCCATGCTCTAAAAGCAAAGTCCAACGCTGTTTCCTTCCTGGCATTTTTAACTAGACCCATTTACTGCAATGAAGAGACTCTGAATTAATTAATGAATTAATCCAATGATGTATAGCAATGGAGATGACCCTGAGGTGACCAGAACAAGGTTCCACACTTGGAACGTTTCCATGAAAGCTTGCAGGTACCACTGTGTGCTGACCTGTTCCAAATGGGCCCAGTTGTCACTCAGTGACCCTCGGCCCCTTCCATTGACCTAGGAACACCCTGGACTGAAAACCAGGCTCTGCAGTCAGGGCAGTGATAGCAAGTAGGTCTACCTTCCTGATCCTTTTAATTTGCTCACACGCAGTCGAGCCCCAGGTGCTCACCATGACCTTTGTCTTTGCAGCTGAGGACTGCAAGCAGCTCGCCAAGCTGCCTAAGGTGAAGTGCTTGCGCAACAGCGAGCGGCAAGGTAGGCTGTACAGTGGGGTGGGGCAGGCGTGTGAATGGAGAGTCGAGTGTGGCAGGTGTATGCATTCGGGTGTTTGAGGGAGTACTGAATGACTCTGCTGTAGTCTGGCTGGTCACTGGAGCAACAGTGGTACCCACCTGGCCTTTTGTCCCTGATCCAGGTCTGGTGCGGTCCCGGATGCGGGGTGCAGACATTGCCCAGGGCACCACTCTGACATTCCTGGACAGCCACTGTGAGGTGAACAGGGATTGGCTGCAGCCCCTGTTACATAGGGTCAAAGAGGTGAGTCAGACAGAGAAACAACTGAAGTTCCTACCTCCCCCTTCTTCCAGGGCCTCCACACTGGTGACTTCACTTAGGGATCCAGATGGGACAGATTGTTGTCCCCACTTTATAGATGGAGGACCAAAGGTTAGTGTCCAGAACAAGATGTCAGTGTAGTGGAGCAAGGCTCGGGCTGTTTGTTTTATCACACAGATGAGAAAATCATGTCCGGACTGTTATATGACGTGGGTTGATATTCTTTAGGGATGGTTTCTCCAGAATCAGCAGAACAGCCTGTGGTCTGGGCTGGGATGGTTTCCTCCTGCCCTGGCTGGTAACCCCTTAACTCCTGCCTGTATAATAACAGTGTTGAAAGGAGAAAAGAGCCCAGTGGGCAAACTGCTCAGCAGGGAACCAAGAAGTCCTCGCCACTTGGCCACTGCAAGCGGTGCTTTCACAGGGTTGTCTGAACTCTTACACATGGGGCTAGAAGTCAGCAACCATTAGGGATGATTTTCTCTGAGTTTGTACCCTAGCATTGTTCAGAAGGAAATCCTGAAAGTGTTGAAAGGGGAAATCCTTTTGTGAGCTGGCCATTCAGTTGAGGGTTTCCCTCGGCACTGAAGCATCACTAGGTCTCCTAGGATTCTGTGCTGACACAGATGGGCTGGTCCTGATTCTGTCATTGCCAGTGTCCTGTCTGTGTGTTTGTGGTGGGTATTGTATATGTAGATGATGAGTATGTACAGGGTCCCAGGGAGGCCCAGGGTAGAGTCATCTCGTGTCTTCCCTCTCTTGCTTTCTACTGCTATTTTTTTGAAACAAGATCTCTTGTACTAGACTTTTTCTTTTAGGCCACCAGCCAGCTCCCAAATCATGACATGAAGATTATTAGTTTTGAATGCTTAACCTAACTTAGGCTCATTCCTGGCTAGCTCTTTTAGATTAAACTCTTTCCCTTTACCCACCCTTTGCCTCGGGGCTTCTTTACTTTCTTTCCTTCTGTATATCTTGCTTTCACTGCTCCATGTCTCGCTGACTGGCGGCTGCCCTGACTTCTGGTTCTCTGTGTCTCCCTTGTTCTCTTCTCCTCTCATTCTTTCTCATCCTCGCAGCCTAGATTCCTCACCCTATTGATTCTCTCTGCCTGCCAGCACCACCTATCCTTTCTCTGCCCAGCTATTGGCCATTCATCCATTCATCTCTTTATTGCACCAATCAGGTGCCTTAGGCAGGCAAGGTGAAACCGATGTAACACATCTTTACGTAATTGAACAAATGCAGCAGAAACAAAAGTAACACACCTTCACACAGCTAAAGTAATTTCTGTGGCATAAACAAATGTGGCGTGTCTTTAGATAGTTAAAATAATATTCCACAACAATCTCACTGACCCTAAAGCTCATCACGTGGTCTAGGCTGACTTGTAACGTAATGAGCTTCCGGAATCTTCCTGTATCTATTTCTCCCACCTCATACCCACATCACAGCCACCGACACTGGATATCAGGCAAGGGCTGCTGGGTCCGGCTTTTTACGTGGATTCTGGGAATCCGAACTCAAGTCCTCACGCTTACACAGAAGCTACTTTGTTGACTGACCCATCTCCCCAGTGCCAGCCCGTGCCTCACCTCTGACCAGGTCCTTCCTGTCCCTGGCCACCTTACTGTCCTTTCCACAAACGTTCCTGTTCTCGAGACTTTGCCCTGATCTCCCCAGCGGCATGCTTAATCAGGATCTCTCCAGACAGCCGCTGCTTACTTTGTCCTCCGTTTTCCTCTTTTGAGCTCTTGGTCTCCCTTAACAGAGGACAAATGCAGTTGGGAGCTAGTCCCCTCCCCATCACCACCTTCACTGCCATAGACTGGCTCTCAGGGCCTGAAAACTATCCTCAGAAGTCCTGGCATATTGGGGTGGTGTCGTGGTTGGAATTAGTAGAAGAGTAGACTCACTGCCTACCCTTATGCTAATCATATTGGCACCTATGGGGAAGAGTCTCAAGCAGGCTATGTGGAAGGAATCAGTTGGTACTTAGCACATCTCACATGGTTCCTATATTCTCATGCTGCACTGGTTTGGAAAGAAACAACACAGGATAGGTAACCACGGGCCGAAGTGCTATGACAGTGGTTCTCAACCTGTGGGTCACAACCCTTTTTGGGGACAAATGGCCCTTTCCCGGGGGCCTTGTGAGACCATCCGCAAACACAGATATTTATATTATAATTAATAACAGCAGTGATATTACAGTTATGAGGTGGCAACAAAAATAATTTTATCGTTGGGGAGGTGGCCACAGCATGAGGAACTGTATTAAAGGGTTGCAGCACTAGGAAGGTTGAGAACCACTGTGCTGTAAGAAAGTTGTTCATGAGAAAGAAGCGTAGGAAAGCTTAGTGTACCTCTCAGGTGCGGAGCAGGCCCCTTCGGTGGGAACTGTTCCATCCCAGAAAGGGCTTTGTGCCTGAGCGGCTCTCAGGAACCAAGGGCTAATGAAGCCACCCTCTTGCTGGTCTGTGTCTGGAGCCAAGAAGAAACTAGAGTGTGTAAGCAGGGCTTGAAGGCCAAGGCTGCAGAACCACAGGAAGGTAAAAGAGGGTAGGGACACGGACACTAGGACACTAGCCAGGGAGAGACGTAGAGGTTGGAGGCAATGGTTCCTGCTTTAGTCAAGGCCATACGAACAGAAATAGACTTAGAGCCAGGAGCGTGGTGTTATGGAAACGCTGTGGCCTGGGAACAGAAGATGGGAAAGAAGAGGCCTGTACCCCTTGTTTTCCATCACAAATGTGTCCCACAGTTACCACAGACATTTTGGAAAATATGGAACATGAGAATGGAAACTAATCAACCAAATTTATCTCGTGCGAAGACATCCGCAGCCTAGTTTCTTCCCACCTAGGATAATTTTCTCCTCAAAGAAGCATCTCTGAGTACATTTGTAATCCTCCTGTATTTACCCAACTTTGTATTCTGTATTCATGTGGTCTCTAAGGTAATTTAACCCGAGCCAGAATCGCACATGTATTGCATACATGTAAATGACAGCCAACAAAGCTGACCACTTAAACCATTTCAGACTGCAGTTACAGACTATGCAACTCTCCCTACAATCTAATTATAAAGCATCCTTGCCACCTCGGAGGCAAACTTCCCACTGATTAGCCACCACTCCTCACTTCCGTCCCCTCCCTGCCTCTGCAGCCACTAATTTGCTTTGTCCCCAGGGACTTCATAAAAATAGAATCATAAGAGATGGCCGTTTGTGATGAAATAATGACCCCCATGGTAAGTCTGGGCCATGTTTTGCTTTTATGAGTTCATCCACATGTGGGACCAATAATAATGCTGCTAAAACTATTCCTGTACAGGTTTTTATTCATGTATCTCTTTCCAGTTTCATGGATGTATATTAAGGACTGGGATTGCAAGAATTAGATGTTTCTTGTGTAGGGATCCCCCCCAAATGATTAACCTCGAAGAATTTTCTTTTAGTTGTTATTGTTATTCTCTGACAATTTCATACATTTATCCCCCGAGGTTGGTGCATTCCTCCATTTCTGTCTTTCATCTTTGCCTCTCTCCCACTAAAATTTTTCTTTTCTCCATTAATAATTCTCCTCCTACTTTGTTCTCTCTCTCTCTCTCTCTCTCTCTCTCTCTCTCTCATCATACATGTAGCCCTGGCTACTATGGATCTCCCCATGTATACCAGGCAAGCCTAATATTTGCCTCCTGAGTGCTGGGATTAGACTTGCACCACCACTTTCTGTTTTGCTTTCCTCTGTCTTTTCTGCTCACCGTATTTATTTAAGGTTACCTGCATGAGCATTCGTGAGGGATTATTTACTGGAATATAGGCAACTTGTCAGTGGCTGCACCACTGGGGAGGATGAATTTCAGCCCCGCCCCTAGTACTCCTTAGCAGCCCATAGACTTTGAGGAAGCCCAGTCTTAATGAATCTGAATCCCTTTCTATCCCAACGACTCTGAGTCCATCTCAGAGAACTTCCCAGGAGATGGTCTCATTTCTCTCTCTGCAGCCAGCCTCACCTACAGACTGGCATAGTCTTCCTTGCTTTTTCAAATGAGAGTTTGGCTGCTCGCAGCCAGACACTCTCCTGAGAGTCATTTGGCCCCACGATGGAGCTTAGCTTCTTAGTCCCCATCACCTTCTGAGCTCAACCTTTCACTGTGAAGAGGTTAGTGAGAGGAGCCCCAGGATTCGCCTAGAGAGTTCTCTGTGAGCCGCTAGGTTCACCCTGAAAGCCTTGCCTCTTAATGCTATGGGGGGCGGGGACTCTGGGACAGCCTCTCAAGGAGCAGGAATGTGTATGCGTTCCAGCTGTGTATCTGGATGTCTCCACACGGAGCGTGGTCTGATCTTGAGAGTAGAAATAGACATTTTAAGCTATAATTGGAGATCGAGGTTTTCAAAAATAGAACAAAATAAGAAAGAAACTGTCCTAGGCTATCTTCAGCTGAAGTTTTCCATGCAACACCTCCTTAATTTCCCTTCCCTTCCCTCTAACTAGAAACACCAAGTTGGTTTCTTGTTTTTTTTTTTTTTAACATAAGTTTCTTTCCTTCACCTCCTTCCATATATTTTTGATGGAAAAGAGATTTCAAGAAATCTCAATCTTTTCAACATCCAGCAAATTTATAAAATGATAGCTGGCTTGTCCTTCAACGCCTTCGCATGTGCTTTCCTCGCTAGCTTCCTTACACGAGCTCTAGTCAAAAGGCGGGATCATCTTGCAATAGTAGCAACTTGCCTTCGCGTCACAGGTTTGCAAACAGGATCCCTTGGAGCATGCCGAATTACTAAGGTCATACACCTTTCTATATGACAGAGCCTGAATGGAAACCTAACTATTCTGTCAACAAACGTGCCCCTACCCCACAGTAGCCCCTCTTTAAGGGCGCTTCTCCAGCTTCTCTCATATGAATGGTTCGGATGTAAACTGATCCTCCACCCTCTGCCAGCTTAGCATTTAGACATTTGATCCCCAGCTGGTGGCGCTATTTGGGGAGCTTATGGAACCAGTGGGGGAGGGGGTCTAGCCAGAGGGAGTAGGTTACCGAGGGTGAGTCTTAGGTGCTGTAATGTACTCCTCTTGCTATTAACCTCTTTTTGCTTCCTGATCTTTGGAGATATTAGCAAGCAGCCTCACACTCTGGCTTCCACAACACCCCCTGTTGTCAAGCCCGGCCTTCCCTGCCACATAGAAGCCCAAGCAGACCCTTCTTTCCCTTCACTTGCCTCTTGTCAATTATTCGGTTATAAGGAGGAAGACATAATATACCACGCCTGCCCCTAGGCCAGCTGAGAGGCCCTGGGCTGTCTCTAGACCCTGAATCAGATTCGTCTTCCCTAGACTGGGGAGTTTCCTTACGTTATCCTTGTCCCCCTACAAGTCCTACACAAGAAGAAGACTCAGGAATGCTGGTGACTACTGAGAGAGTTCTTCTAGAAGTTTCTGATTACCCATTCACAATGTGCTTTAATCATATGAATCAGTGGGGAAAGGAGAGGTATGAGAGCACCAGGGATTGATGGCTACTGCCCAGAGCTTTCAGCCCCTCTCCTCCTGATAAGAGCAGACGGGGAGTGGAGCTAAGGATGGGGCAGAGAAAACAGACTTGGATTTCCACGGTAGGTAAAGGAAATGGGGAATAGGGAATGGTCCAGGATCCGCCCAGGATTTTACCAGATGTTTGCTTATGCTCAAGCTTGGGCCTAACTTTTAGGATATACCAATTATGGGCACACAACAGGAGCCTCTCTTGACTCTGGGCCAACAACACAATTATTGAGACTCTCTTCATCCCCGAGGCTCCAGCTTGAAAAGCTACCCTGTTAAGCCATAAGTGACCCACCTGATCCCTGGTCATCACCTACACAAGGGTGTAGGGAATGATTTTCTTTCTTAACCAATGTCATCAAATACTTGCTGCCTTCCAGGCTCTGGGCTAGGCCAGAGAGTGGATACCAATCCTCTCGTGTTGAGAGCTTGTGTTCTGGTTTGGGTGACTCACTAAAGTCTTCTGTGGCCCCTTTCAAGGTAATAACTGCACATAGCACTTGGCCCCCAAACAGCCCTCGCTGGCTGGCTGTTCTCCATAGACCAGATACCACAGGTGAGTTGCAACAGAAGTCCTAAGATGCAAGGTCTCAGAGGGGTAGGAGAGTGCTTGGGGAGCCTGGCACAGTCATGGCACAGTGCCCACGTGGAGGCAGTGACTGAGACACACGCTCTACACTTGGTTTTTCAGTTTTATTTTTAAACAGGGAAGGGAGTTTGTTTCCACTAAAGCAAAACAAAATGAGGTTATCATCTAAGAGTCCCCAAGACCCTTCCTGGACTCAGTGCAAGGATCCACAAGTCACTGAAGCAGGCCCACTTGTACAGCAGCAGAAAGGCTAACAGTAGCAGAAGCAAGGCCCTGTGCAAAGTCCCATCATGAGCATTCATCTATCCTCTTCCAGAAGAGTTCTATAGAGTGTTTACCTCTCCTAGAAGAGATGTATAGCAGCCCTGGGAGGGGAGGGCGTTGTTGCCAACCAGAGAAGCTCACATACACTTTGGCATCCAGAGCTTTAACTAGGCATCAATCATATAGATGAACCTGAATATTTTTTTGTTTTAAGACAGCCTTGATTTATTTTATATATTTATTACTTTTATAAATAGCTTAGCATAAGTATGTTGTTACATTTTATTCATAAATAGGTATACAGCTATACCAGAAAATATAAGTAGAGTCCACACAGTATCCATATCTCTATCTATCTATCTATCTATCTATCTATCTATCTATCTATCTATCTATCATCTATCTATCTATATCATTCAGTAGACTCACATTGATTTATTTAAATAACTGAATACTGGCTTCTGGCATTCATACCTCACCTTTGAAAAAAGGCAACGTTGGCTTAGGTTTTGGCAATTCTTTGTGATTTTTTATGTTTTTCACCCCCATGGTAGGAATAGTATATAGAGAAAACCTTCCAACTGTAGAAAGGGCAATGGAAGTCTCTCATAAACAATGGTCCAGGCAGGAGACTCCTGGGGAAGATGATTATTCTTAGTTTTTCTTTAAAAAAAAAAAAAGTCCCTTCAACCTGTTCTCCATTTATTCAGCCACAGAACATTTTGCTGTCATTCGACATCAGCTCAAAAGGGAGCAGATGTCTGCAAGGACAGGATGCTGATGTCCCTGTTCAGGGTGATCAGTAGCATCCTGGATGCCTGGTTCTGCCCAGGTCTCCAGTGTTCCAGGCTGATGGAAGAGTCCAGGGCAATTTGCAGGTCCAAGATGTAAACAATGATCTGTTGCAGATTTCCATCTTGGTCACCTTGTTCTACGGGATGCTGGGCGCCAGTTCCTTGAGCTTTGAGTAGCAAACATTCATGTCGTAGAGTAAGGATGAGCCTGAATTTTATGGTCTTCTTGGTCACCATTGTGGCTGTCGAGGTCAAGTTGGTACTTCATGAAACAAATCCCTCAGCATACACCACAGTGTTAGCACGGACTATCTAGTGTGGCCCAAGACTCCAAGGAAAACGATTGTCTTCTAAGCACAATGGACCAAGAGCTTAGAGGTTATCTCTAGCAGCTAGGTACAGACTAGATATGCTTTTGTGTGTGTACAAAGGTCACAGAAGGAATCAATGCAGCTGCAGAGGTACCTGAACACAGCAAGAGAAGACAGGTTGAAGATTTTGTTGAACTTACAGAATATACCCCTGAACTTTTGTTTTTAAAGTTTAACTAATCTAAGCATCCATGCATGTGTGTGAGCATACGCACACACACACACACATCAGTGGCTGGAGAGTATCTCCAAAGACACCATGGTATGTGGTACCCAGGCAGGTGCAGTGCTGACAGCTGTGGCATCTGTAACATCCCTGCAGCGGAAGTGATGCCTTGGCAATGAGTGTTCCTTTCCACCTGGGCCGACTGGTTTTCAGAAATTCCTTGCTTCTGTCAGAGTGAATTGGATGTGGGAGGCTCAGGGTCAAATTAAGTCTGTGAACTTAGAATCGAGTGCTCAGTCATTCTGGAGCTTAAAAATAAGACAGCCTAAATTGGGGGAAAGATTGAACATAAAAGAATTAAATGGCTTCACGGAGAAGCCCAAGTTCCTGCCTGAGCTGGCTGAAGGGTGATAGGTGAAAAAGAGCGCTTTCTCGAGATGGGCTGGCCTCTCCAGGCCACTCGACTCTCACTGTGAGATCCCAGAATCTTTGTATTCTCAGCTTGTTTATATCATTGTTGGGGCTGTATCCCTGCGGTATACTCGCCTACAATGAACAACCTTGATAGGTTTGGTAGCCCTATCTGCTAGGAACTGAGGAGTTGGGCTTGGTTGTTTTGAAAATATCCCTTAGATGACTCTTTAGGGATTATTTTCCTTTTAATTATGTGTATGTGTGCATCTATGTATGGGTATGTGCACATGGGTTCAGGTGCCTACGGAGGCAGCTGGAGTTGTAGGTAGTTGTGAGCCTCCTGATGTGGACACCGTGAATTAAACCCAAGTCCCCTTAGAAGTGTTGGAAGCACTCTTAACCACTGAGCCTCCTCGCTAGCCCAGATGACTATGGTGGCAATATCCAGGATATCCTGAGGAAGAAGAAAGTGATGAAATTGGAAAGCAAAATGTGTGCCTGTTTATTTTTCCTTCACACAATAATTCTGCATAGTCATGGGGTCCTGGGCAGCATTCTCATATATGGATAAACAAGTAATGATCAAGTCAAGGAAATTATCATTTTTGTCACCTCAAACACTGATCATTTCTTTGTGTTGAGAACATTCAAAATCTTCTAACATTTTGAAATATATAATAAATTATTAAAAGCTGTATTTCTGCTACCGTGCTGAAGAACTGTAGGACTTATGTCTCCTCTAACTGAATTTCGGTGCCTGTTATCAGTCTGCTTTCTATGTCCTCCTTCCCCTATCCCACCCCGAGCCCCCTGGCGATATCTGTTCTGCACAAACCAATACCTCATGTTCTCACTCATACGTGGAAGCAGGTTTGAATGGACTTAGGCTCTGTGTTAAAAAATACACCTTATGTTGGAGGTGATTAAAGTATTGGACAATTGAGTAGCATGGCCAGATTTTCATAGCAGAAAGAGCATGGGCAACCGTACACAGAAGGGAAGGAAACAGTGTGGATGCGATGGGAACCATTGTAGTTCTCTAGACAAGAGTCAGTGTGGATTTAGAAGAGTCAGAGTCAGAACCAGAACCTGGTCTGGTTGTTGGACAGGGTAAATCTTAATTTAGTGCTAGGGAAGAGGATGTGGGATGCTCTGTTAATAGAAGTTGCAACTTGAAGGAAGGGGTATGTCAGTAGAAGATGGTGAAGCCAGTCTTGAAGAGTGGAGTGTATGTGTGCAGGGAAATAGCCAGCCGCACATTGGGCTGAGAAGTGGGTGGGAATTTGGGACTGGACATACAGGTATGTGTCCGCCAGAAGGGGACAGCTGTTCATCAGTCTAAGAACCTTAGCCCTCAGACGAAGGACTTTAGAACCCAGGTTCCCCTTGGCCATGCACTTTGCTTCTGATGACTAGATGAGAGCCACTGGCTGATTGGTGCCTCTAAGTTCGCTGACTTCCAGGCGGCAGGTGTTCCCTGAAAACTGAATGCAGGTCTTTTTGTTTTGTGTTTTGCAGGATTACACAAGGGTAGTCTGCCCTGTCATTGACATCATTAACCTGGACACCTTCAATTACATTGAGTCTGCCTCAGAGCTCAGAGGGGGTGAGTGAGCTAATACTCCTTTCCTCTTCCTCTTCCTGTCTCTCCTCTTTCTTTCTTTTTCCTCCTGTTCTTCCCCTCCTTCCTCCTTTTCCTCCTCTTCCTCCTTCACCCCATCTCAAAGTGGGGAAACCAAGATCTCCTGGTGAGTTGTTTGACATGCCTAAGTCTGTATCTTGCAATAAAATCCAGTTCAGCTTGTCCTTCTCTCCTGGGACAGAGATAACCCAGCCCTCTGGGGCTCTAGCTTTAATCTGGGGCCCACCCCTAGACATGAGGATATAGGGGAAGCTGGAAGTCCCAGGTTATGTGGGACCTGACTTGGTCTGCCATCTTGATATTGGCATCACCCTCTCCTAGAGTCCCTCCCTCCCATGCTCTCAACCTAGGGCCTAGTTCACTTCTACCCAATAATGACTTCTAGGTGATTCTGGTGATTTACACCAAGATTCCCTGTTTACTCCTTCCTAAGACTCAGACCTATGGTTTTTGTCCCATCTGTCACCTTTGCACCATGGGCCTTGACTTCTTCCCTTTGCTTTATTTCCTTACCTAGCAGGGAGCTTCAGACAGGCTCCGTGAGCTAGACTGGAGAAGGGAATGTAGAGGGAGCTTTGGTGTCCCTGCTGTCAAGCAGACCAGGGGAGACTTGTCTTCCCAAGGGCCAGTTCTCCCAGGAGCTGGAATAAGAGTGGGATAAGGAAGCTCTGAGCATGCTTTGAGACACTGAGTCAGCTAGGCCAATGCTGTGTTTCAGGGTTTGACTGGAGCCTACACTTCCAGTGGGAGCAGCTCTCCCCGGAGCAGAAGGCTTTGCGCCTGGACCCTACCGAGCCCATCCGGTGAGTATAAAGCGTTGCTGATGCAGAGGGTGGGCAGGTTCAGCTCCACTTGACCCTTCCTGCTGCCCTATGGTTCATAAAGGTCAGTACTGAGTCTTCAAAAGAGTGGAAAAGTGGGAACGAAGGCCCTGGGCCAGGGAATCTCTACATTTTCCCTTATTCTAGAAGGTTACTTTCTTCATGGAGACTTCTGGGTAGGGGAAAGGGACCGTTAGAGACCTGTGCTGAGGAGTGGTAACCAACACTCTACGTCTTCACACAAGCCATGATGGCTCTTACACCTCCTGATGACTAACATGTAAGGTTCCAAGATCAGCACATTTGGGCCTCTGGTGAGGGAAGAAATGCTTCCTAGGTCCTGTGGGTCCAATTTTGGTTGTCAGGAGTAACTGGAAGCTTCTCTCTGCCCCACCAGTTTCCAAATGACCACTCAGATGCTTACTAGTAATTACAAACTGTTTGGCCTGTTAGCTCAAGCTTTTTATTAACTAGTTCTTACAACTTAAATTAACCTATTTCTATTATTCTATATTTACCATGAGGCTTGTGGCTTGTTACCTTACCCTTTGCTTCTCCAGCAGCTGCTGGTGTCTAATTCCTCCTCCTTTCTCCCTCTATATCTGTTTAGATTTCTTGCCTATCTCTATTCTGCCTGACTATTGGCCAAATAAGCTTCTTTATTAACCAGTCATAACAAACCATGTTCACAGCATACAGAGGGGATTCCCACAGGTGTTAGGATTGAGCTCAGGGTAGGGATATGGAGACTATAAACCCTGTAACCAGAAAGAGGTAGGGTGGATGACCACTGCTCTGTGGTGACACTTCTGTGTTTGTTGTGTGTGAGCTTGGTGGCTTGAACCGAGCTAACTGGTTGTTCTGTAGATAGTTCTGGCATGCCATGCATTCTCTTTTGGTTCCATTGTCACCTATGCTAGCAAGCTGTCTTCCCGGTTTATGGCTATTGAAGAGGTTCTGGCATAAAGTAGAGTACAGTTTTTACCCTGCAGAGGAGCCTGTGGTCTTAGCGTTGAGATGTGACCTTGATGCTATACTTGAGCCTGGTTAGCAAGTTCATCCGAGGTCTCTTGGAAACCTCCAAACTCGAACATTTCTACCTCAGGAGGCATCTGGGATATCTGGAGTGCTTGAAGAACTACAGAGAAGGCCAGTGGCCTGAAATTTCTCCATCCAGTCACTTAAAAATGCCCAAGATCATTCAAGAGTGCCTGTATCTCTGGTACCTCCATCATTAGAGATGTTCAATCATTTCATTGACTTGACTCAAGTTGAAATAAAGACCAGAGGGGTACCAAAGAGCTGAATGGTTGTGGTCTAGAAGGCGCATAGAGACTCAGAGATCATTGAATCTCCTGCATCTCCTAGCCCATCTTCCCTTCTTCATCCTTCATAATCTGGACTGAATCTGAGATAAAGAGTAGACCCCGATGACACTCACAGCAATGTCCTTTATCCCAAAAGAGAAAGGAGCTGCCACCCACCAGGCTGAGCACTGTGCTCTTTTAGGTCAGTGAATGGAACAGGTTTTTGGCGTGGAGAGAGTGTAGCCTGTGCAAGAACTTCAGAGGAGTGGAGCAAGGCATGGAAAAGACAGCACTGAAACTACCTGGGTTCTCCAGTTTGTCCCTAGAGGAAGTCTTGGGACAGGTCTTCTTCTTATGTACATTGCTTATCCGGGAGGAAGTGTTTCCTTAACTAGACCAGCATTCCAGGAGCAGCAAATTGTTACAGCCAAGGCAAACTCAGGCCTTCTGACCTGCTCTCCAGGTTTGCTATGGAGACAAAGCTTCCTTTGCTCTCTGGGCACACTAAAGTAAGGAGCAAGACCCTGAGTGTTCCCAGCCCTAGCCACTGATTTTGCTGATGTGTGTCCTACCTGCTTGGCTCCTGCTGCTCCGATCTTCCTGCCTCTTGAATGCCTTCTCTTCCTGAACAGCTTCTCTAGCTTCTCTCTAAGCAATCGAGAGCCACAGTAGGTCAAAGGAGATCTCCCTCCAAAGAAAGAAGAGGGTTTATTAGTTTGCTATGGCTGCAGCAACAAAGTACCTGAGTTGTTTAAATGGGAGAAGCATGCGCCATAGTTTAGAGACAGGCGAGATGGTGGCAGAGTTGCTATTCTTTCATGGCTGTCCGGGTCGCTTGCCTCAACTTACAGATAGCCAACTTCTCTCTAGTCTCCGCATCCCCTTTTCTTGGTATATTCCCTTTTGCATGCCAGTTTTCCTTTTAATAAGAACCTTAGTCGTGTTGGGTCCGGGCCTGCCCTCATTACCTTGTTTTAACTTGATTACCTCGCTATGAACTCTGTCTCCAGATAAGGTCACATTCTGAGATACTGGGAATTAGGATTTCAGTAACACTTTTGGGGGTGATGGTAATGGGGTAGTCAAAAATCCAAAATACAATATAAGTAAAGACTCAAGGAAGTGGGCAGAGGTCAGGGCAAGGCCACACTGCTCACAGCTCTTTGCCTGGTTAGCAGCTGCCAGCTGTATTCCAAGAGCCTCACTGAGCAGAACTGGGGGAGGAGGAGCAAGGAGCAGCTCCTTGAAGCCTTGTCGATAAGCAAAGTTTTCTGTCTACAAGGTGAGAGAATTTCCAAGCAGAAGGCAAACCCCTGCAGCAGATCCCTGTTTAGAGAGCCTAAGAATGGACTGACTCATGCTAAGATCGGAGGAAATCGTCTTGAGTTCTGGGCTCTCACGAGCAAAGAGTTGGAGGGCTCCTTCTCACTAAATGATCCCTCACCTTACCTCTTTCCAAATTATAGGACTCCAATCATAGCTGGAGGGCTCTTCGTGATTGACAAAGCCTGGTTTGATTACCTGGGTAAATATGACGTCGACATGGACATCTGGGGTGGGGAGAACTTTGGTAAGTCTCTGTCCTGTGTGTCATGATCATATGGTCCTGGGCAGGCAATAGAACTGTCTTCTACTGAGAACTCTGTGTCCTTAGCCGCCACATCAACCAAACAGTTACCAGGATCTGGAGGGGGAGGGGGGAAAGAGTCTGGAAATATGAGTCACTCCTTTTGGGAGAAGATGGTCATAGCAAGAAAGCTTCTCCACGAGAACTGGAGATACCAAGGACCAGGGACGCATGCTCGAGCAGCTTTTCAAGGAGGAAAGATGTGGAATCCTAGAGAACTAAGAACGAATGCCAAGTCCATGGCACCAGACATGGGCTTGAGCTAGAAGCTCTGACCTTGGGAATCTGGAGGTGAAGAAGACCGAGGAGGGAAAGAATGTGGCACAGGAGTGAGAGAGCCATCCCATCTCATTGTAGTTCTGGGGTCATCACCACAAAAAGCACGAGGTAATTTACCCTGACCTTCCAGTGGGAAAAGAAGCGGGTGGGGAGTGGCTGGCTACACATAGGTGCCCTGCCCCGGCCTGGACATAGTAGTGGCTGACGTTTGCAGCCTCAGGGAAAACAGCTCAGGTAAGAAGTCCCATTTCACCCATCTAAGTTGTACCCTTTCCCTCCGTGGGAAAGGATAGCTTTGTTTTAACAGCCTTCCTTCTTGGGGGTGCTATGAAAGTCTTGAGGTGAGCTACAGTGACAGAATCCCATGGATGAGTGAGTGTCTACCCAGGCAGCGAGACTGCATGAGAATGCCATGTAGTTTTCTTTGTCCCTGAAGATCTCCATCCTTCTATGTGCCTAGAGCTTGGTGTGCAGGAGACCCACAGTGGCTGTTGCTTGAGCAAACCAGTCACAGAAGTGTAAGAGGAGAAGTCCTTACGTAAGGGGTGCTTCTCCTCTGTGGGTGCCGGGGGGGGGAGCGTGCTGGCATGGACGTGGGGAGCAGTACACAGGCCAGAAAAGTGATCCATTGGCTCAGTCTGCCATTGCTGTCCCCATCCCTGCCTTCCGGGTGTTTTATGGCTCTCTTCCTCAGGCACTAAGAATTATCTCCCAGAAATTTATGGCTTTGACCTAATCCACAGCATCTGTTCTCCCAAGCTGGGCAGGATAAGGAAGAAATCTATCAGGAACTTGGTCTCTTGCCAGGCGGGGGTCATGCTGGAAGCACAGTAAACAAAATTGGAATCTCCAGACGCCAGCACACAAGTCAAGAGCATCTCCCCTCCTGGGGTAGTGGGTCATTGCTGGTCCTGTACAACTTAACAGAGAGTGCAAATGTGCTGGGCTTCAAGGCTAAGTCTGACTTCGCCAGCCGTGGTGAAGCTGGGTGTCTTACTACACAAAACCATTTATTAGCACGTCCCCAGGCTCATAGCATTCCTTACTTAGTGAGAAGGTCCAGCCCTTCTTCCCACCAACAGATAAGTGTGCCCTGCAGCCCATCTGATGGCAGTGGTTCGTCTCTGCCCCAATGCTGCTCGTAAAGATTCAGAAACCTCTGCTATTTGGCATATTCTGTGTTGAAATTTTTTTTTCTTTGTGGAATTATTAAAAAAACCCTTCAGTTTTCTGAGCCCCACCCAGTTTGTCTGCTGGGGTTCTTCCTGTCCTCGTGAACTGCACAAGGTGAGGATGATCCCTCTTGGGGATAGCAGTGACATTGGGATGCAGGCAGCGTTGTCATTCGCAGGATGGCACATTCTGGTCCCACTTACCCGGCACCCTTCCTTTAGAACGATGCTAGCGCACAGCTGCGCAAATCAAGATGCAATCTCCTCAAGCCGGCTTCCGAGGTGTTTGGCATCACCAAGGGCTGATTTGAATAGAGAAGTTGGGAAACGGTCCCTGGGAGGTGTGGGAGAGACGTTTTATAATCCATCACAAGATTTTTGTGAGCGACCACAGAGAAGCACTGTAGACAGCCACCGCAGCAACCACTTTGTTTCCCTGCACCCCAACATTCTATTATGTTGTAGCTGGCTAACAGCACTTTAAAAGCCTTTTCTGGAATTTTTCCCTTCCTTTTCTTTTCTTTTTTTTCTTTCTCTTCTTTTCTTTTTCTTTCTTTTTTTTTTTTTTTTTTTTTTTATACCGGAAAATAAAGTTATTTTCCAAGAATGGATTCAACACATAATGTGTGCCCTGGGGTAACATTTCCAAGGGGCTGGTAACCAGACCCCAAAGTATCAGAAGGTGAGAATTCCAAAGTGGGGCCACGTGATTGCTGATCAGCTCTGTGGATGGAGGGTGTGAGCAGTGCTTTGGCTACAAAAGAAGATGAAAGAAGCTGCCTGTTAGTGAAGGAATCCCACCCAAAGGGCCAATCAGGAGTCTCAGCCCCCATATACATACCACCAAGTTACCAAGCCTTAACAATCAATCCACCTCTGTCTCCCTCGGCCTAATCTCTAAGTATGTGTCTGTCTCATTGTCTGTCCCTGCCCTGATGCTGGCTCCCTTAAGATAAGAACATAAAGTTCACCTCGTTTCTGGTTCTCAAGGCCCAGAATAGTTGATACTGCTCACAAAATGCATGTGTGAAAAGCGAGAGACTGAATGGGAAGGGATCTCTGGGTAGGAAGGCAACTCAGACACAGATGTCTCCCCCACTCTCCAACCTACGGATGCTCAAGTCCCTTATACAGAATGGTGTAAAATTTGCATAGACCCTATGTGTGAGCTCCTATATCTCTTAAATCATTTCTCCATTAACTTTAATTCATAAAAGAATGTAAATACTATATAAACAGTTGTGAACTGCGTGGTTTAGGGGACAATAGAGAGGAAAATGGCTTTACATGTATGCTTAAGACAAGCGCAGTTGTTTTCTGTTTTCAGTAAAATTCTAATCCATGGTCAGTTGGACCTAGGATGAGGAGGACGTAGGACAGACTACAATACACGAGGCGCTACTGTGAAATACTCAGTGGAGCCATGTTTGAGGGGCCTCTGATTATGTCCACGCCCGCAGCAGGCTGGAGTGTCCGTCCTTTCCAGAAAATAGAATTTCCCTGTGTTCTAGATATGTTTGCCTATGCAGTGCTGATTTCGGTTCACAGCTCCAAAATCACACGTGCTCTTTGGCCAGGGTGACAGTGACCAAACCCAACCCTACCTTTACCCAGCCCCATCTCCACGTTAGAAGTGGCTGCAGATGGATTGGCTGCAGGGCCTTGTAAAAGCTATACTGTGTCTTGGTTAACCTCCCCACCTGCTGACCCTGCTACTTCATTCCCATCAAGTGTTTCTAAAATGAGCTGAGAGCACTTTTGATAATTATATCCACAGTTTAGAGTAGGAGTGGGCTTTAGGAAATGTGGCTTTTAGATTTTTTTTTTCAGAGGTTGATTTGCATTAAAATTGGATACTTAAACTCCAATTTACATAACACAGGATACATGCAATATATCTACTTACTCTGAGGCGAGCCACATCTCACTTTTAGCTTTTGGTCTCTAGAGAAAAAAAAAAAGTAATCTGTTCCCAGTCACACAGTGTAGGCAGCAGGGTGGGGATTGGGGGGGTTCGTATTTCCCAAAACAGGAAACTCTGGCACACATGTCAGGAGAATATGGGATTCCTGAATTTAGAACGGGGGATTTCCGTAGCACATCGGGCATGAAGGACAGTGCCGAACAGAGAGATGAGGTAGAGACCAAAAGAGACTTGCTACCACCCACCATCTCAGAATGGAGTCTGGGATGCCAGGCTATGCCAGGCTCAGGGGATGTGTGTGATACAGGAAGAACTCACACTGTGAGATCAGCCAGGAGTTAAGTCTGAAGCCCATAGTTATCAGTAAGTAGCCTTGGGAAAGTTACCTCACCTCACTGAGCCTGTTTCTAGGGCTGGAACGTGGAAACAGTGATCTGCTCCCCCCAAAAAATACCCACACCCTACATACCTGGAACCTGTTAGGCTGTGGCCAGATGTGACACAAGGCTTTTGGGTAATGAGACGAGCTCACTAATGGATGATCTCAAGTTAGGGGGCTTTGCAAACACATCCAGACTAATATCACAGGATCTCTAAAATCAGAGGGCTTTCTTAGGCAGCAGAGAGGGGGCAGAAGTCAGGTGCCATGCTCCAAAGGGTCGTTAGCAACTGTTAGTTCGAAGATAGAAGAGACAACAGGAAGTAACTGGAAGGAGTTCTGGGCCATTGACTGGCAAGGAGAAGGGAGCCTAAGTCCGGTAGCCCTAAGGAACTTTTGAAAACGCCGAAAGAGCTTCATAGCAAGTTCTTCAGGGCATCCATGAAGGAACACAGTCCTGCTGACACCTGCAGCCATGTAAGACAGAGGAGAGGCCCCTCCCAAGCCCTCTAAGTCTGGGGTGAATCATTAAAAGGAATGCAAAAAACTCATCATATGTGTCTCTCGTGGGGCTGCGTGAAGACAGCCGAGTCTCTGTTCCAGCAGTGTTGGCTGCCTTCCTTCAGGATGACATGACCAATGTCCAATAAAGGAGGGCTCTGCGACCCTGCTCAGATGCGTCAGTGCCCATGCTTTTGCTTGATTAGGGAAATGGCCTCAGTGAGGAAGAACACTCCCAATTGAGGAGATACCACCTTTCTCCAGACAGAAAGCCAGCTAAAGCATCTTGATTCGTAATGCTCTTTGGGTTGTTCTGCAAGAGCGCGGTGCCACCTCTGATTCTCCGGGTCCAGCGGTGACACCATAGGCCACCCTTTGCTGCTCCTCCTCAATGCCCCACATCGTGTGAAATAGGGACAGCGGTTGCTTATTTGCCAGCAGAGATTGGAAAGTTAAAGGATTTTTGTAATCACATGGCCGTGAGTGACCATTGTGGACATGTAGTCAATACTTGTCCAGAAGCAAGGACCTGGGTACAGCCTCCATTGTGTGTCCCGGATGTGGGATGGAATGCAGTTTGGCTCACATATCCAAAACTGCCTTTTGTCGGCCAATAAGATGAACTCTGTCAAACCAGAGCCTTCACTGAAGTACAACGGCAATGGCTTACTTGATTCTGTGCTGCTAT